GGGGAGGAGCGGCAGGCTGGGTGGGAGCTTCATTCAAATGCGAATTGTTGACCTGCACGGTTAGTGGCGGAGGCGGTGGAAGCAGGTCGGATTTGGCTTCACAATTGCCCGCGGACATGTGAGCCCAAAATTGGGCATTTTCGGAGAACTTTTCGTTGCAGAAACAGCAGGTGAAGGTGGCTGGCGCGTCAGAGGCCATCGCAGTGGACTGAACGGAAAAAAAGAAACAGGTATGTGTGAAGAAACAGTCCGCTAGACGCGCACAAAACGTAAACAAATGGAAAACACCGTAAACATTGACTGCGGGGTAGAAACTAGTAGCCACAACGCGGTCTTACTTGCCTACCGAACGTGAACGCGTGTCTTACAAATCAGTCCGGATGAAGTTTAGGACGCGCGTAAGTTTATATTCCCCCATCTGTTATGCTTACTGCATTAATAGGATGTGCGTCAGCTAGTGACACAAGTACAGGTCTTAGTAAGTATGATTACACGAATTAGCACTCTTAGCAGTGGCATATCACCTCTAGCAGCAGTATCCAAGCCAAAAAAACTTAGTCAACTGGAACGCAACTTTTGGTGGGCAGAGGTGAGAGGGTGGAAACCAAGGCAAGCCCTGATGTGCTCCGGGCATCAAACATGTATTTACTCGGAATAGCTCAAACCCAGATTCACCCTCCTTGTTGAGATAGAGGGCATATGAACCCCAGCGTTGACGTTCATCAGCGTCAACTCTGACAAATACTCACGTCAGAAATAGTGCCCGTGTTACTAACACTTAGCAACACACCTAGTTAGTAATAGTAGAAATAGCAGTACTAGCCTCGGTTTCCTTGAGTCTGCCTTGACACCTACTGAAGGTGGGCGTGAGGGTAGATAGTGCCGTAGTACCAGCGCAAAATACAACTTTCATTTAAGAAAAATCTAGGCTGCATTTGTGGCCGGCATTGAAGAAACCGGCTTCCGCCTGATTCCTGCTCGGTCATGTCGACTCCGTCTTGCCACTGGTTCAAGCGGAGAGATAGTTTAGATGGTTGTAGACAGTTGCGGGTTTATTTCCCCCAAATATCGTCTCTGCCTCCAGTCACCATCCCTGCTCTTGGGCACATGGTGGACATAATCGAAATCGATGGTTGAACTATCCGGCTGGGTCATCACAGATAATATTCGCGTTATGGCAATAAAGAAGGGCGGGAGAAAACGCTATTAAATCCTGGAAACCGTCCACACTATCGAGAAGGGATGCGCATCTCGCCAAACGCTGATGGGAGTAAACTGCAGGAAGAGCTGAAGGTACAAAGTGGTGCGCCACTTTTGTCCAAATAGAACGGACAACTGACCATTCTAATCGTGCATTATAATGCACCGAACCTGGCCCTATTTTGCGACCCCTGTGAGGTGGGGTTCGGACGTCGGTTTTCGAATTCAAGTTCTCCTGGAAACCGCCTTTACACCGGACTTCACAACTTGCGCCTAGTGTGCCGCTACCCAAACCGGTTTTTGGTCCTCGCATGTTCCGCTTAGGCAAAAGGAGCACGTCTGGGAACCCAGCCAGGCGTGACATATCAATAAACGTAGGCGATCGCTGCTGGGAACGAAACTGGCTGAAAATAAACCTTTATCTGAAA